TATTTATAGATAAAATGCCGACTATATTGTTGTGAGAAAACCTCGGAATAAATTATCACATAATCCAATTTAGTTGGACATATTCACATAATAATTATTTTTCAGAAAGTGGATTGACTGATTTGACTGGTCTATTGGATGTTAACTTCAAACAGGTAAAGTATTAAATTTTTAAGACGGTGGAAATAAATATAAAAAAAAAAGTAATGGTATTATGACAAAAATATTTATACTGATATTATTTTTCATCACTTTTTTTTATAAATATAACGTTTTACTTTTTTCTATGATTATTTTTCAAATAAATGTATTGTGTGCCGAGGTATTCTTCCCAAGAGGAAGCTAATCAAATCAATGCGGAGTAAGTGAAAACTAGAGTGAAAAATAGATTTTGTAATGATATTTTAAATCCACTTTATTTTTAATCTATTATTATATTATCTAAAATACTCTTAAGATAAAAAATTAAAATACATACTTAAGGATTTCACAATATAAACTCTTTCGTTAACTATTATTACTTTTATCTTGTAAAATTTATAACTTTATCATTATATTAGTTTAATATTTCCATAATGTATATTTTTCTATTACTTAAAACATTTTATTAACGATGTAGTTTAATTTATGCCCAAACAGAGCTATAACGTAATTTGTGAGAGGAAAAGGGAAATTTTGCGAAATAGAAAGATATATTTTATTATTCAATTTAGTAAATTAACTCTACATAATATAATATTTAAGGAAAAAATGGAATAAAAAAGGTACACAATTTAAGAAAAAACAAAAAGGATTCTTAAATGAGTTTATTTAATAAGAAAAATAGAAAATGAGAAATGAAAATAAAGAAAGTGGTTATGAAGTCAAAGGGAGAAATGATTGTGTTTGTTTTAAAAGGTTGCGGAATATTGGACGCAGCTTGACCCAGCAAAACGTGAGAATGATTGACAAAACGTTGCAATCAAAAGGAACATGCATGTCCATAAAGGTAAGAATGATTAGAAGGGGATCCATCAATCTCACCATAACAGTCATTAGATGCTCTTTTCTTCAAACCACAACTTCACTCATCAGGGTTCATCGTCTTCATTTAACTTATCAACTGCTATTCAAAAAAATCATCACACTCCTTTTCTAACCTTTAACCATTTTCCTTTTTCTTAGAAATCTCACGTCAAGATAAAGTCAATTAACAGTTTATAAGTGGATGCAAATTTCACACTACAAATCAATTTTGTGGAGGTCGAATTAGGTTTAAAGTCCCACTTATAACATAATATCAGAGTCATGATTAGAACTTATTCTATCAATATTTGTTGGTTGTTGAACATATTATTTCACTCCTATCGAATCACCAATTAAAATACCTAATCTCACGCAGCGTGAAAAAGATGTATTGGAAGTTCCACATCGACTAGATAAATGAATGTAAATCTCACCCTATAAACCAATTTTATGGGATTGAGTTAGACTTAAAGTCCACTTCTAACATTATTTTTTGCCTTATTATTCAACCCAGTTATGCTTATCAATGGTGATTAATGTAACAATTAAGATGTGCTTATGTTATGCTTGCATTTTCTCAATCAAAGAAACCAGCTCCTACCAGATAAATGATGCTACCAACACTGACATTTAACCAGCTGCAAGGAATATTTCGAAAAATACACGCAATCCATACTTCAAGAAATTCTATTTCAACCCACCAACCTGTAAAATCCAGAAACTTAATTTTTAGGGAAAAGAGTCTTTGTTGTGAAATAAAAAATCAATAAAATTGTAATTATATAGATAAAAAATGACACACTGCGAACACGAAAAGTTAATTGAATTAGTTATACTTTAAAATTGACAATGATTAAACGATGTCACAACTATAACTTTTAGGGCAAAGTTTATTATTATATTTTTTATAATAAAAAAAAAAGACTTAAAAATTTGATAGATAGTTGATTTTGTGAACTCTTTTATAATGAAAAATTTTCTTGGTCTGTGAATGTTTTTTTATCGTAATCCTTATAGGTTAGGACTAAGTTAGATAAAATAGAGTAATTTGACTGGTATGGAAAAGGGCAACGAAAGGTGTACTTAGGTGTATAAAGGACAAATGATAAAGGTATTGATCTTTTAGACTTTTTGTCCTGATTAATTTATAGGTAATGATTTCGACCACGCAATCGAACAATGCAACATGCATATTTGTAAAATATGGGTCTTAGTATGAGGTAGGTTGTTATCCATATCATAATAGCAATCATTCTGTTACATGTCGTGCTTTGAATTACACATGAAGTTAAAGAAACCCTTACTTTGCATTGCATTCATTATCTCAACTTGTTGCCCTTTCTTTATGCTCATCATTTCTCACTTTAACAAAAGCCTACAATGCAACAAAAAACCAATAGTACCCGTGGGACACCCCAATTTGTTCATCCATCATATACTTTCTACAAATTTTATCCCCTTCCTATGCTTACAAAATAACTTTAAATTTGTAATTACTTTTTCTTATCATGAAAATATTTTCTTTCAATTATATATGTTTATTTACAAATCCCAAACTTAAGACTTCATTGAAGAATATTGAAATTATTACCTCTTGAACCAAACTTCCCAACAAGTTGGTATGTATACATTACAACGTCTTGAATTTTCTGTTATTCTCATTTAATTGAAATAAAAAAAATTATTTAATTCTGTGCATCAAACGATTATGTGGAGCTCTAAATATCCCTTAGTACAAAGAATTTAAATTCAAATATATATATTTTCATTAAACATCTTACCTTAAACATCATATTTACGAAAACAAATAACTTTAGTAGGAAACAGGAAAGTGAAAAGGAGACAAGAATGAAATGAGCAAGAATATTTAAAGCACTTCCGTGAGATTTATTATCTATACGCACACGTACAAAGGTAGAAAATTTAGGAACAATTTGATATTTTACACCGTCGATGAAGCGTGGGAGGAACTTAAGAGGGTGCAAAAAGCAATGCCTTCATTTACTGAAAAAATGGTTCCATTTAAGTTTTTTTTCTTTCTTTTCAACACATTGGCCATAAGCCCATCAGTACACAGTCCATCAGTACAAAAACAATACAAAAATTTCTATAGTTAAAATTTTAAAGGTTTAATACATCATTTGGTTCCAACTTTTTGGGGTTTGGTTCAAAATGGTCATACCTTTTGAAAAAGTTCACTAAGCCCCATATTTTGTTTAAAAATGTTCAATTCGATCATTTTCGTGGACGTCGTTAAAAAATTAACGGTGCTGATGCTAGTCTGGCCAAATCTGAGTGAGGTGTTATGTTAGATGATTACGTGGCACTGTGTGGGTTAAACCAAAATTACCTTTATATAAGACTGATTTGGGGATTTCTGGATAAAACATTGTGCTGCAAGTGGTTCTAGATAATTAGGGTTGGGGATTTGGGTATTTCTTTTAATTATAATTAATTAGGATTGGGATTTCCTTTTAATCACTTTTAGTTATCAATTTCTATTCATTTCTGAATTCTAATTGGATGCATTAGGTTTGAACCCTAAATTTAATTCCCAAATGCTTGTTTCACACCTAAAGAACTCTAATAACAACTTTTTTCCCAAATCCTTTTCTTGTCTTGAACAAACCTAACTTGGGAGGGTGTTCTTCGGTCACGCGCGAGAGAAGCTTGCTACGGAGAGACGCTCTTCTTTTTCGTTTCTGGTTCTGTTGTGGCTTTGTAGGAAGGGGGAGATATCATTCTTTGTCTTCCCTTTCTTCTCTGTTTCTGGTTGGTTTTTTGTATGAAGGAGAATCAAGTTTCGTTGTCAGAATCATCTTCAATCAAACAAAATATAATTAAACCCTAATCCCAAATACAACAACATCAACTTATTAGCCTTGATTAGGACCACTTATCTCACGCTCGCACGTACGCTGTTCCAATTTCATTATGAAGGAATCACCAGCCAAAACCACTTGCAGCACAATGTTTTGCCCAGAAATGCCTAAATCAATCTTAAATAAGGGTAATTTTGCTTTAACCCACACTTAAACCTACCACCCAAATTAAGTCATTTTATTTTTTTAAAATATTTTCACCAACTCACTTCACTTCATAATGCCACGTAATCATCCAACATAACACCTAATTCAGATTTGGCTACAGTGACATCAACACCGTTAAGTTTTTAACGGCGTCCACGAAAATGATCGAATTGAACATTTTTAAACAAAATAGTGCTCTTATTGAACTTTTTCAAAAGGTGAGACTATTTTAAACCAAACCTCCAAAAGTTGGAACCAAATAATGTATTAAACCAATTTTAAAATAAGGGATCATTAACCTTGTCAAAGGTGAGTAAAATAGTTGCCCTAAAGAAGACTGATAAATAACCATGTTTTCTTTTTTTCATGGTTTTGAAGAATGTTACATAGTGAAATAAAGAAATAAAAAAAACAAAAGAAGATAATTGAAACGGAAAATAAAGTTATTTACATTTTATGTAGTTAAATAAATAAATTTAAACCTAAAATTATATGAGGTTATTTTAATTAATTAAATCTAAAGTTCAAATTATAGACTTGTGAATAAATGATGAAGATTAATTGTTGTTTTATAACCATTTAGCTAATATTAATTGCTATTTGATTTAACATAAGGTTTTCTAATACAGAAACATTTTGGATGAAAAGTTGATGATGAAAATTTTACCTAATAGGTTATTATTTTTTGAGTAGTCTAAATATTTGAGCTTCACATGTTACATATTAAGTACATTTTTAAACTAGTTGTGAAATTCTTATAAAATAGTAAAAGAAAACATTTTATTGAAAAGAAAAGTTAAACTACAAGTAAGTTAAATACGCATTTGAAAATTTAACAAAATAAACACTAAAGTTTGAATTTAATTGGATTAAATAATGAAACATGTCGAAGAAAAATCCGAAGAACTGGACTTCTAGAATATAATTTCATAGGACATTTAACGATATTTTAATTGGTTAGCATATGAAACAGAATTGAGTGAAGTAGAATGTCTGATTGACTGAATAAGGATCAGGGGATAGTGGCAGCGAGGAAGGAAGAATAAGTGAAGTTTGAAGGTTGACGCAAAGCAAGAAGAACATTGGTGGCATGCAAATACAAGTAAATAATGTAAGGTAAGCTAAGATCGACACACAGCAGAAAAGGAAAAATGACGATGGACGACGATAGCTCTATATATGTTGGGGGTCTTCCTTACGACATCACCGACGAAACCATTCGCACTGTCTTCAATTTGTATGGTGCCATTCTCGATGTGAAGGTCCATTTTTCTAACTCCATCTCTTTTAGGGTTTTAACCAACTTTGTTTATAACCACCTTATTTATGTAATTCCTTTCACAAATAATCAATTCCACCCATCGGGGTTTTGTTTCAATCGCTAATTTTTTTATGTCAGATTATCAACGACCAACGCGGTAGGGGGAAGTGCTATTGTTTTGTTACTTTCACGAATCCTAGGTCAGCGATCGACGCCATCAACGACATGAATGGCAGAGTATGTAATTTAATCATTTATCCTCTTTTACATGTTTTAGGGTCTTTAATATCTGGTTATGAATTATTATTGTTGTGCTTAGCTTGAGTTTTAGGCATTTGACTCTCTGTTGTTCCGAATCAGACCATTGACGGGCGTGTGGTTAAAGTTAATGGGGTGAGGTCTCGTGGGGGCAGGTCAAACTTTGGCAGAGAACGGTATTACCATCATAATGATGAGAGGAATGGAGATTGGGATCGTGGGAGAGATCGAGACCGAGATTATGATCATGATAATAGTGGTAGGGATGGATACAGGAATCGGAGCAATGATTGGAGTCGGGACCGTGATAGGTCTCGAGACCGAGACCAGGACAGGGATAGAAGATTTGAGCATATACATGACTATGATGAAGATAGAGATCCTATGTTAGATAATGACTGGGGTAGAGAGGATGATAGAGTTGAAAATGAACAAGAACATAGCAGGGGGGATGGTGGAGATGTGGATAGAGACCACAACTTGGATTTTAATGCAGACAGGAAAACGGATAGGACAAGTGACCTTGATAGAAGTTTTGATGAGGATAGAAAAGATCAGTCAAGGAGAAACAATGAGTAAGATTTCCATCCATTTTTCTTGACATATGTTTATTTCCAACCATTTTTCTTCAGTTTACTTTTGTTACATGCATAATCTACTGGACTTATTAGTGCTTTTCCTGCAGCTTGAATGTTACAAATCAACATAGCATGGATCTTTCATCAGAATCAACTGGTGCTGACGATGATCAGGTAATGCAAATGCCTTTAAATTTCTGAAATGTGAGGAATTCTGAATTTCTTGTCTAGGTTGCATATTGGCATACAATAAATTGAAGTTGATTGTGGTGCACTTTTTTTGTTTGTGTGATTTCAGGTAGAAGCTCAATTAGAGAGCTCAACTAAGCAGCTTGATCAACTCAAAAAAGAGGTTTGTAATCTCTTTAGAGCAAACATGAATGAATGATTACAATTTGTTAAATGGTCAAGTCTATGCTAGCAAGCAGCTTTATGATAGTGTGACAAATGTTTTCTTCTAACTGAACAATTGCATTTTTGGGGTGTGCATACAAATGCATACGAAGACTTCCCTGAATTCCAATGTTTACTAAATACCAAGTTGGCATATCACTTCCTTCAGAAGTCTTCCAATTCCGGATAACAAGTCCTCCAGCCCTTTGTGTTATTTTTATTTCTGCTGTTTGTTGATGACGTGGAAAGTGGAATTTTTGGCTTATCAGGTTTCTCAAATGGAAGAGGGATTGGAAGAGAAAAGGGTCCATGTTAAGGAATTGCAAAAGCAATCTAAGGTATCTGTTTGCTATACTCTTTTGATTGTCCTTACTTTGAACAAAAAATCTATTCTGACCTGGAAAATATGTACTGCAGAAACTGGAGGATGCACTGATCAATGCAAAGAAAAACACTTCATATCGTCAGATGCAGTTGATAAAGGTAGTATCTAGTTGTCATAATTATAAATCAAATACTTGCAGTCTCTATACTATTGCCAAATTCATGCACTGCTGCTAACATTGAATTTGGGCAATTGATCTTCAGCTTCATAAATGTTTTCTGCAAGTGAAAGATTACACAGAAAGACTTAAATATAGTGAAAAGGAACTTCAGGTTCGAGCCTTAACACCACATAATTCCGATTTATGTACAGATCTGCAAAGTATGTTCTGTGTTTTTAAAAAATGATTAAATTATACATTGTGATTTTGGATACTGCTTTTTTCAATTTCACATGATTTTGTGCATTATGTGTATTGAATTTTATGTGGAATTGTGACAAATGCTCCCTTTATAAACTATTTTTTCAAATTGTTGTGTTTCCTTGAATTTTGTTTGTCAACATAGAAGCATTATATAGTATAATTTGTATAGAAGGCGAGTCTCATGACTTGTTTTTTCTGTTGCCCCATTTATCTCTATATGTTATTTTGTCTTTGAGCCTATCATTAGAACTTGGGTATTGTAGGAGTGCCCAAGTCTCACTCAAGTAAGTACCCTTTTCGAGGCACTAACAGCTAGTTTTGCTACCAGTTGATAAGCATTCAAACACTTGTGGACCCACCCTCAAAAGCTATTCAGTGAGGGGAAATAACCGAACACTGAAATATTGCATTGTGCACCCATACTTCTCCAATTTGAGACTCAGGCACTCCGTAATATCCAAGTTCCTAGCAAACAATTTCTATCTTTTCTAAATTATTAAATTGGGGCCAAAAGACATGGATTTTATTTTGACGTAAGAAATTTTAGTAATGCAAGTTAGAGATGTACAAATGTAAAGGAAAAGAGTATGCCGCAGAGGAATGGAATATACAAGAAACGTCAACTAAAGCTATTGTCACAGATAGTCATGCTCCATAATAGTACCCGAAGTGAAGGGTGAAATGTGTTTTTATTCATGTGAATATGCTAAATTTGGTTTTAGACATCCAACACTTTTGGTTAGTTTTGATCCTCATCCATTTAATTTTTGGCAATTGGTCCCTTTTAATACGTAGTGGTGATTACATATGTCTATACATGTCACGTCATAATGGTCATTTACATGGCTCGTGTAGATGCATGTTATGCACTAAACAAGAGATGGATATTTAAAATATAAATAAATTTGTGAGGGCCAAAACCCAAAAAAAAAACTTTTTTTACTAAAATCATATTTAACAATATTTGCAGGAATAAAAAATATGTTTATGTCAAAAAAGACAAAAAGAACTATGCAATAAAATACCCTGGCAAACCTTTTTTTGGAGAAATAAAAGAGATGCATGAAATAGACCTGTTGAGATTTGAAAGATCTCTGATGTTTGTTCATCATTATTGATATGAAATTATGAACGTTGTTTGATGTTTGGAGTTGTCTTATAAATTTGTGAGCTCTATTTAGTGAGTTCAGTTGTTCCTATTACTCCAGTTGCTTTGTTTCCTTTCTTCTCTATCTCCACGTCCAAATGGATGAGATGAAGTCGTAATAGTAGCACGACTGAGTGTTTTCTTTTTGGGGCTTGCAGGCTCTAATTGATACAGTACTGTTAGAGATTGATGGTGATGGCGTTGGATTAAAGGATGGACAACTAACAAATGGAAGTCTTGATGCTAGATAGTAATTCTATATTTGGAAATTTCAGATTGTGTCACTGATGCTTAAAATGGGTTTAGCACACATAATACCTTGTCTGATATGAAGAAAAAATGGCTGGATAAGTCAATGAATCTCTTTTATTTTTCTTTTTCTGATTCAACAACTCTAGCTTTTACTAAATAGCATCAATAGAGTTTTGCTTATACTGTTTAGTTGGTGGTTAACTTGGTCATAATTATGGATTCACCTGTTATAAATTCACAAGATAAACAAATTGCATGTGGTGTACCTTTTGGACTTTTGTATTAGGTCAGAGAATTCAGTGTTATCTTTTGTTCATTGTCATCTCTATTTAACCTAATGTCTGATCCTTTCTGTCCTCATATGAATAATCCCTTTTTAGTAGAAATATTCCTTTGATATTATGATTCACTTGTTTGGTAACAAGAATAGCTCTATAATTTTATCTTAGTTTGATTGGTGGTGACCTTGAGAGAACAATAACCAGTTCGGGTATGATCCATAGCACTACTATACTCAATTGCATGAAGTGGTATGTTTTATCCAAAAGCTTGTATTTTGGCTTGAAAAAACTGTGGAGTTGGTGTACTAAACTTGCTACTAGGCAAATGTTTATTTGTTCTGTTCCATAGTCAAATGGAGTGATAACTTTGTTTGTAATATTCAAAAGTTTTCCACTTGAAGCGTGTAACCAAATTTGGGTCCAACTTAGCCACGATGTCTTAACTGGAACACTTAATCTCAAAATGGGTTAGCCTGGTGAAGAAAGATTAGTTAGATACTAAGTGGAAGTCATGTATGTATTCTGGTCATACAAAAAATAAAATAAATGAAAGATCCTTGGTATGAAAGTTTTACTTGATTTGGGTAAATTATGGATTGGGCCTGTCTACTTTGGTGGTTTAGTGGGACAATCGTATTCTACAACTTGTTGCTTTCGAAATTCAACATATTCCACTGCACAAAATAGGAATTTTATGTTATCCAAGAATGGTTTAAATGCGGTCTTTACTGTATTAAAACAGAGAAATATTAAAAAGAATACTTATCATAGGAAATAAAAACTGTAGCCTTACAAAAACGAGGTAATTTACCTAATAAAGTTGTAGACTGAAGGGCAAGTGAGGTAGTGAATAAAGTAGGAGGGTTACTCTCTGTACCATCCCATGCATCATCACATTTTTAAAATATTCTAAAACTATTTTTTATATTTTAAAATATTCTACACCTTCACGTTCTTTTTAATGGATGTCGACATTCTTTTAAAAAAAAATACTTCAACGGCCGTTCAAGTTTTTTTTTAGTTTTAGTTTATAATATTTTTTATATAATTAGTTGAACGGATGCACACTCGTTACTTTTTTTTATTAGTTTTTAGTTTAATAATTTATTATATTTTAAATTAATATATAAATATTATTTAATTTTCTTTTAAATTAAGTATATAATTATATATAAAATAATTTTATTTTATTTAATAAAATAATTATTATTAATTTAATTTATATAGTATTATTTAATTAATTATTATAGTATTTTTTATATTATCAATTAAACAAATGTGCGTTAATGGATGTGGTCACAGGTTTTTCTGTTTTCTCTTTATTTTAGTTTATTAATTTATTATATTTTAAATTAATATATAAATATTATTTTATCTTATTTTAAATTTATTACATAATTATATATAAATTATTTTATTTTATTTAATAAAATAATAATAATTAATTTAATTTATATATTATTATTTAATTAATTATTATAGTATTTTTTATATTATCATTTAATCTATTGTGTATTAATTGTTGTGGTCACAGGTTTTTCTTTTTTCTTTTTTTATTTATTTATTAATTTATTATATTTTAAATTAATATATAAATATTATTTAATTTTATTTTAAATTTATTACATGATTATATATAAATTAATTTTATTTTATTTAATAGAATAATAATTATTAATTTAATTTATGTTTTATTATTTAATTAATTATTATAATATTTTTATATTATTAGTTAAATAGATGTGTCATAAGTTTTTTATTTATTTATTAATTTATTATATTTTAAATTAATATATAAATATTATTTAATTTTATTTCAAATTTATTACATGATTATACATAAATACTTTTATTTTATTTAATAAAATAATTATTATTAATTTAATTTATATATTATTATTTAATTAATTATTATAATATTTTTCATATTATTTAGTTAAATGGATGTGCCACATCGTTAACGGATGTGGCCACATCCGTTAAGGTTTTTTTCTATTTTTTAGTTTACGGATGTGGTCACATTCGTTGATGGATATCAACATCCGTTGTAGGTGAAACAGATGTTGACATTTATTGAAAGTGAAACGGATATTGACATCCATTTTATTGGAAGGACAAATTAGGTATGGGGTGATGCAGTGAGCATTTGGTAGTGGTAGAGGGAGCAACACTCATAAAGTAGTGCCTTAACTTTTCTCAAGGCTTAACTTTTCTCAAGGCCCGAATGAACACATTTAAGTAAAACTTATTTGGGTGTTGCTCCCTGTACCACCACGAACCTTATCCTGCACCAGCCCATTCCACAATTGTCCTTCAGTAAAAATTGAATTACCATGTTTAAAACATTAAAAAAATAAACGAAAATGGAAGATCCAGCATTCAACGGACATCAGTTAACGGATATCCATGTCCGCTGAAGCCTGAACAGATTTCCACATCCGTTTCGGCCTTACCAGTACACATTTACATATATATATATATATATATATATATATAT